AATGAATCTCCCGCAAGAACGCGGGAGGATACACCGCCCACCACTTTCCAAATATGCAAGAGGAGAATGAATCTCCCGCAACAACGCGGGAGGATACACCGCCATTTTCCCACGTTCTGTCGAAAGATGCATTCTCCTTTTGCACATTTGGAGAGTAGAGGGGTGAGCTCTCTCTCTCTCTCTCTCTCTCTCTCTCTCTCTCTCTCTCTCTCTCTCTCTCTCTCTCTGTGTGTGTGTGTGTGTGTGTGTGGAGGCTCCCACCCGTTGCAGCCCCCTCCAAAACGAGGATGAATCTTTCGCAAGACCGCAAGAAGATACACTCCCTGTGTAATAACTACAGGGTTTGGCTGTGGTGTCAGGCCCGAAAGGGGAAAAAAAGGCTGGGACTGCACCGGTACCGTTCATGGCTGCACTGCTAAAAAGGGCCAGCCCGAGTTTCAACTGCATTTGAAACTCGGGCCCTGACTAAATTGCTAAAAAGCAGTCTCAAATGCAGTTACAAACTGCTTTCGTGACTGCCCCGTCGTTACCCCTTTTTTTTTTTCCCCACGGGCCACGCCTGAGATGCCTCGGCCACGTTTCTTTCTTTCTTTTTTTTCTTTTCTTTTTTTCTTGGCCATGGCCGAGGCATCTCCGTGGGCACGACCAGGTGCGTCAGCCATGCCCAAAAAAAAAAAAAAAAAACAAGAAACAATGGCGGAACCGGCATGTTTTGCGTTCCTAAAGGCACCAAAAACAGGCCTTCGGCGACTGTATCAGGGCCTGAGCTCCAAAAGTCGTCCTAAGGCCGGCGGTGGTGTCAAGGCGGAGGTTTCATTAAGGCGGTTGTGGTTTTTCTTTTCTTTTCTTTTCTTTTCTTTTCTTTTCTTTTTTTTTTTTCATTTTTCTTTTTCGGTTGGTCGCGCCGCGCCATGCCGCGGCGGCAAGGAGATTAATTATTATTATTATTTTTGTTCTTGTCTGTCGCACTGCGCGGTGCCATGCCGCGGCTGGGGAAAAAAAAGAAGAAGAGCCGAGATGTCTTGGCCACACCAAAGATTGGCCACGGCCGAAATGTCTCGGCCACACCCCATGGTCGGGCCACGGACGAGATGTCTCGGCCACACCCCAGATTGGCCACGGCAGAGATGTCTCGGCCACACCCCAGATTGGCCACGGCCGAGATGTCTCGGTGAAGCAATATCCATGCAAGTGAACAACACTTTGCCAAAAAGTCAGGAGAAGACAAGAAAAGACAAGTAAACCCCGAGCGCATCAATCAAAAGATATACAATGAAGCACCATGAAAAATTTGGCACGAAGTGCCATAGTCGTGAAGCTCGACTCACGGACTACACTACACGTGTTTCGGACGGGCCGTCAGAACACCGGCCATCATCAGGGGCGTGCGCTGGTGAGATAAGACGAAGAGACACTATGAAGAACTTATATCCTACATCAAACAAAATTTCTGACAGAAGTACTGGTCCGTGGGAAAAGGAAGGCCCCAAGTACCAGTACCAAAACACGTAAAAACCGAAAACCCAAGAAACGGCACAACAACTCCCTACTAGTGTACCAATAGTCCAGACCCTAAGCCTCCCAATTGGCAAAACACTGGACCCAAATGGACCAAGCACCCCGAATGCGTATATTGAAATTGCAGAGGGCCCTGTCGAAGTAACTATCGGGAAAMCCCCGCTGCTTGAGCTCCATCTTGAGAGAAAAGAGAAAAGAGGCCTCCCCCGCCGGTGAGGTGCCCATCGCATACGCTCTGTGCAAAAATGAAGTGATAATTGCCATTTTTTGTTTCTTGCTACAATACGAACAGTAATCCTGCAGGTTCTGAAAAACGAGACCCTTACCTTCCAACAAATACTCCTGATTCTTATGCAACGCTTGACAATACACTCGAACAGGCTCACTTCCGACGAGAATTCTACACCCGAGGTAAGGCCGCTGATCCCCATTACTAGTCTTCTCCAATGTCAGATGCTTGTCATAACAAGTGGTAGTAAACCTATTCATGATGGTCCCTGCATTCTTCTCAGACGCTGGCTGCTGCTTCATATACTTAACGAAAATAGAAATGTCATCGACAAGCCTACACCCAAAAACCAAACGTGCATCGTTGCCCAAACTCCTTAAGAATGTAAACTCGTTGTGTGCGCACATCAAGCATGCCAAAACAGGGCTCGGCGATTTCCCCATCGGAATGCCAAGATTTTGTTTCACAATTTTTCCCATCGCCATTGTGTAAGTGTGCTCCAGATCATATGCAATGAATTTGAGAAGAAGAGAAAACTTGACAGATTTGAAACCTACCTGAGATCTGGGAGTTCTACAGAGAACGACACTCTTATTCTTCGCACAGATTAGACACTTATAAAAACTATTTTCATCGAAAAAGCTAACAGCCCATTCTATGGCCATGATAATCGATGAGTGCGGTAGTTGGCAAAACATCTTTTTGACATCAAAACTACTCGCAAGCAAATCCTCCCCCGAAGTAATACACTGATTAACTCTAAATAGGACAGCAGAAAAAGACTGTGTACTTCGCAGATTGAAATGACAGTTCGAAGGAAGCCTTTTAAGAAAATCGTTGACACAGAGAGATACTATCCTCGATGATTTCCGTGACGGCTTATTCCAAGATCGGTCGCCACTTAGTTACATCCTTATGTTTTGGTATAACATAAGCTCTTCCCAATTTCCCTGAAGCCACCCATGGCGCCAAAACCTGAAGTTTTTGTGCCCTGTACTTAAGCTTACATCGCCGGATGATTTCTTCCTCGTCATAATTAACGACCTGCAATCCGACATTCTCAGTAAACAACTTACGTAACCCCTCTGCGTTGATAATCAGACAACAAACAAAAGTGTCACCAGTATTGTGATCCAATGGATAACGTACAAGCCCTTCGAACTCTTTCTTCCATGCCTGAATCTCCCCGAACGACAAACAGTCACCATACCTACTACCTTTAGACAGACAGTCCTCAAGTCCCGAAAAATGAAAAACATCCTTGACGCCAAAAAATTGTTGAAAAGAGGCGGTAATCTGCTTCCTCAGAGACCCTGTATGAGCAGAATACTCGGGGCAAACAACATTCTTAGAGTTACGGAGACAGGAAGGGAGAAAATCTACTTCACTAACCCTAAACGACACATGATCATGAACCTTGGGAAATTTTGACGGAAGAGAAACACAAAGACACGTAGGCTTGAAGGATGATGCATACTCCCGGATGCTATAGAGAAGATCCGATATCGCCTGGTTCTTTATCCATACAATACGCAATTTCATACATACTTGCTGAAGGTACGGGAGTGGATAGTTCAGGCTTAATATACAACTCTGACAAACGCGTCTTACAACTGACTTTACAAGATTCTCATCGAACCTAATGCGAACAACCAATCTAGCAGAAAGGCGTAGATTATACTTCCTTCGGCAGGCCAGGGAGAGAATAATACGTAAAGAAGTAGGAGATTTCCTAGCAGAGATGGTACGGACCGCGTTATAGGCGGAGACAAAGGAAGCAAGACTCCAGAGGGAAAGATCTCGTCTTGATTGGGGGAATTTCAACAACTGTACTACCTTGTCTTTATACGGAAGGGATGTGGAGCAGAAACGCTTGACGGAGTGGAGATAGAAAGTTTCTCCCGGAAGAAACCAAGAACGACAGTTCTTTAGCAGAGAAATCGGAAGATCGGTGGATGAGATAGTCGAACAACCAAAAAGTCGTCGAATAAGCTTCCACTTATCAGAGAATGAGTTGTCAGACAGGACGCGAAGTTTGAGAGGGAAAGAGAGCATGGATGTGGAGATACTACATAGTAAAGAAATAAAACTGGTTGAGGTTTGACCGGATGAGAGTGAAAAATAATACGGAGAGGGGGTAGATTGTAATAGCAAGAGAGGAAGAAGAGGCAGAAAAAGAAGAGGGAGAAGAAGAAGAAGAAGAAGAAGAAGAAGAAGAAGAAGAAGAAGAAGAAGAAGGAGGAGGAGAGGAGAGAGGAAAGGAATCAGAGGGCAAGAACTTCTTCTTTCTTCTTAATATTTCCCTTCGACCTGGACGACATTTTTTATGTCGTCGGATGCGCGCCTTTACAGAATTAAGGGCTGGAGTAAAAGAACGGATGAAGAACTTCTCAGATGGTAGTAGATCGTCCTTTGAAGAGTAAAAAAAGATAGGAATGGAGATATACCCATCGATACCAACCCTACGAATCCAACGATAGAGCTTCCTATTACGACGAAGAGGTTTGGATGACGCAGACGAAGAGGAATGTTCCTTCCAACGAATTTTAATACTACGCGACGTACAACCAATATACACATGTTTATACCACGGGGAAATAATAGCATATACAACTGGGCCTTGACAAGACCTAAAATCATAACCAATGCTAAGTAAATGCAACAAGAAATCACGAAGTTTAAGACCCCAACGAATCAGATTATTAATAATCAAAAAGACAACTGTTAATCGAAACAAACAGGTAATCTCATCTACAGGCAATGACTTACGATAGTCCCGAAAGAATGATGCCCACTCCCACAAGGAAGATACGCTCAAGGCGCCTTCTCACTCGTCGTTAATATCTTCTGTGGAGGTGGCATAATGTTGCTCATGATCGTCTTCATCTTCATCTTGAAGGCCTTGATCCTTGAGCCATTGCGCGAATCTTCTTCTTGCCCGGATCTCAGCTACATTAGCCTTAGCCTGATCCAATTTGATGTAGGTGATCCCCTCCTCCTCACACAGTTTCGACATATCTGCCTTCTTGAATGGGCGTAAAGTCCGCCTCTCCTCTTCTTGTAACTTTTTTAATTGAACCTCCTCCGGTTTCTCGGATAACTTCTCGACAGCTTTCGTCCTCCAAGGACCGCCTTCCTTCTTTGACTCGTCGTCCTCAATCTGTATAGCACTTAAGGCTGGCCTCAGGTTGCGAGGCGTCGTTTTCCTGACATAAGATCTTATTGCAGAAGGACACTGCTTCGTCAGCAACTGAGCACCCATGCGTGCCATCCGTTCCTTGAGAGCTTGCACTTCTTTGTTGGCGATTTCTTCACCTGCCTGAGCCTTCTTGTATGCCTTGTGAAGGGCATCCAAATCCTTGGGAGTGTAAACGGCGTCACCAATCGAAACCAAACTCTGCTTCCCTTTGTCCGGCTCCGCTGGTGGACTTTTATCCGTCACCACTTCGGACGATCGCTTGTTATTGGCGTTCTTGAGCTCATCGATCTCCATTCTGAGATCTTGGAAATCCTTCTTGAGTGTCAAGTTTTCTGCCTTCAAACTGCAGAGTTCATTGCTGCGGTTCTGGAGCGCTGCCTGCACCCCTTCAAGCTCTTGAATCTGCAAACGAAGCGCCGCGATTTCATCGCTCTGCGAGCTTTCGGAAATCGCATCAATTGATTTGTTCTTCTCGTTCCGTGCCCTCAATATCTCAATTTCCTTCTTAAGAATTTCCTCCTCGCTTCTCAGAGACTGCTCTTTCTGAAGCGCCTCTTTCTCCCGCCGTAGCGCATCCAAACTGGATTCCGCCTTTTCCCCCGCACATCTTGCCTTCTCCCCCACATACTTAGCCTTCAGTTCATCTAACTCCCGTTTTACCTTGGTGATCTCCGACTCATCCTCATCAGGAATGTCAATTTTCTTCCCTAGAACCGATTCGCAGACAGACTTCATCCTGCTCCTCACAATCTTCCCTAACCTAGCCTCGTGCAATTCCTTCTTTTTTCTTGCTTGCACGTTTCTCTCCTCTTCTGCCTGCAGCTTTTTCTTCTCGGCTTCAAACAGTTCCAACTTAGCTGCCTCCTGCTTCTTACGTTCCCGTTCTTCCGCTTGTTCCGAGAGCAGGTCATAGATCTTATCAAACCGATCATCGTTGTCACGTTTCCTATAACCACCACCCAGGGCTTCGGAAACCGCTGACCTCCGTAACCTTGATTACCCCGATAACCACCGCCGCCACCATAGTTGCCGTAACCACCATAATTACTTCCAGCATTATTAACGCTTCTACCTTATGGCGGTTGGTGCGGCACGATTGCGTTGGAAGTGCCAGACGCCGCGGCCATCTGAGAAGAAGAAGAAGAAGACGCCGCCGGTGCTGGCAACAAACCTGATACCTCATTACGCGTGCCACCATTCATAGCTCCTTGTATGTTCGCTGCCATCTCCGCTCCGTTCGAACAGTTGCGAAAGGGGCATTCTCGAATGAAGTGGCCAGGGAGCCTACAGAAATGACAGACACCTGAACGATACATCTCCAAAGGAGGACGAACCTCGTCCCCCGGTTTAATCCAGCGGGCAACAGCCCTAAAAATCCCACAGCGCGATTCCAGATAGAAAGAAAAGGAGAGAAGAGACGACGGAAGAGGGAAAAGAAACAGAAAAGGAATGAAAAGGAAACAGGAACAACGGAACATAGATTGTAGATTGTAGACTGTAGACTGAAGACAGTAGACTGAAGACTGTAGACCGAAGACAGTAGACTGAAGACTGAAGACTAAAGACTAAAGGCAAAGGTCACAGTCACTCGTACGGGGTGATCAATCCCCCCGACGGTTCTCTGTGTGCATGTCGCAGTGAAGCAATATCCATGCAAGTGAACAACACTTTGCTAAAAAGTCAGGAGAAGATAAGAAAAGACAAGTAAACCCCGAGCCAAAAAGTCCAAAGGAGATGTCTCAGCCACACCTCAGATTGGCCATGGCCCAGATGTATAGGCCAAACCCCGGCTGTGGCCCAACCATGGTTTTTTTTTTCTTTTTTCTTTTTTCTTTTTTTCCCTCAGCTGCGGCCACAGCGCGGAGTGGTGCGACCGACCGGAAAACAAACAAACAAACAAACAAACAAACAAACAAACAAACAAACAAACAAACAAACAACCAAAAAAAAACAAAAAAAAAAAACACAACTGCCTTAATGAAACCTCTGCCCTGACACCACCGCCGACCTGAGTTACGAACGCCTTTTCGAACTCAGGCCCTGACACAGACGCCTATGCCTGTTTTCTCTGCCCATTACGAACTCCCATGTGACATAAGCGCGCTTCCCCCAAAAAACAAACAAACAAACAAATAACAAGGCTGAGTGCCTGAGGCCAGAACGCTGACTCCCTGAGTCCCTGAGGCCAGAGACCAGGGGTCCTTTCCTGTGAAACTGGGCAAAACGCGGTATTTTTGCTGGCAAACTATGCAACGAAACCTCCATTTTTTGGAAAGGAAACTCTGAACGGACGAGATTTTTGCTGCCAGACTTGGAAGGAGCAATAATTTTGCTATTAATCCTTTGCAAAATACCACCATAAGTTGAGATATATTCCAAAATGCCCCTGAAAGATACTGAATACCCTTTTGGGCTGAAATCTTTGTGTGGTGCCCCTGTCAGGCGGGTGTGCAACTTTGCAATCTGGACCTCCCCGTTTGGACCTTATCATTTTGCAATAGTGCCTAGGAAAAGTTGGCAAGTTCTGGGCCCTTCTGCAAAGTTCGACGGTACCTGGTAGGGGTATATTGCAAAGATGGGGGTAGTTCGTAAATTATCCCATTTTCATTCCTTGTTTTGTAGGTTATTTCGATTTTTTTATTTTTTCTATGTGGGGCCTGGGGCCTCTACCCACTAGCATCGAGTAAAACGGTGTGTGGCGGCCGTTTCTTTAAAAAAAAACATATAAAGAATCCTTTTTTTTATTTTCAGAAATGCAAAGAAAACAAGGCCAACCCTATGCATCCACACTTCCACCAGTACCATGCGACCTTCCCGCCGGCCTGTTCGCAGTCTTCCACGGAAATCTCAATATTCTGAATTTCTGCAAAAAAAATAGCAAGGCACGAAGCTTAAAAAACAACCCCCCCTCAAAAAGACCATAGTATTGAAGCTTCGGGCCAACGCAAAGTGGCCGACTAAATGGCCAACAAATGATTAAGAAAAAAATTCTGCTGGCCCTCAGGAAGCTGCATCCACCAAAACAAAGACAATCCACACTAGCAGTGGATACACAAAATGATCAAGGACTCACGCATGTCACAGACGGCCGCACGTGGTCGGAGCACAAGCGTAAATAGGACGTAGTGGGACGAGGCCCCTGTGGTATCGGGCTGAGCCCGAAAAAAAAAACAAGGAGAAAACTCAAGTAAACAAACATCACCACGCTTTAATGGTTTGGCCGATCAGGAGCATCTTACTGGCCTTTTACGGTGGATGTACTATGGGGTAGGTATAAGGATAGAGGGTATAGTATATATGAATTACACTCACCAACAGGACAATGGTTATGGGTGCGTTCCAGAGAGCTCATAATAATGTCATTGAGCGGTAAGAGTGCGAGACAACAAGGCGATGTGAACTCAACAGGCTGTTTTTTCCTTTTCCTGTTGTGCGGTCACAGCAGATGTAGACGAAGGTAGAAAAGCCATGCAGGATAGCGAGCTACGTACGTCTACAAGGTGAGAGATTCGGGATCGTACGCACTGTTTTTTTATTTTTATTTTTTTCAGAAGAGAAAACAACAGCCACGCATCATTGAGAGGAGACCAAAGCCAAGCATGGAAACGCAAAGCAGGCGAAATTCAATTAGAGTCGTCACAGCATTCATTCGCACGAAAAACAATTAAGAGTCTTAGAGCAAAGTGATAGAGTCAATCCTCGAAAGCAATTTACAAAAGTAGCCCAGACTCTTCGACCAGGAGTAGCTCGTCAGACTCTTCAGAGAAACTTTAGGAACGAAAAGTTTAGGCCTCTTCGATATGGAATGGAAACGGAATACTAGAGATGAGGAGGAGAAATATGATGAAAATCGCTTTGAGTCGTAGGGCCGCAGGCTGCGTAGCTCGAGGGGTCTCATGCGCTCAGAAGAAGCGGAACTCGTCAGGGGTTTTGCGAAGATCGGAGACAGGAGAGGGGGTATACACAGTGATAGGGAGAGAGGTAAGGAGCGGCGGAGGGAAGAGAGGCGAAGCGAGGGAGGGAGGGAGGGAGGGAAGAGGCGAAGAGAGGGAAGGAGGGAGGCAGAACTCGTCAGGCGTTTTGTGGAGATCGGAGACTGGGGGGTATACACAGTGAGAGGGAGAGGGGCAAGGAGCGGCGCGAAGAGAGGGAAGGACGGAGGGAGGGAGGGAGGGAGGGAGGGAGGAGAAAAGTTTGGGAGAGAAAGGGAGAGTAAGAGGGGTGGAAAAGAAACAAGGGAGAGTGGTGGGTATCTCAGTAGCAATCCCGTAACATAGGCGTTCTTGGCCTCCTAGGCCTTCTCGGCCTTATAGGTTTTTTGCTAGTATTCATGTTAGCGAAGAAGTGAAGATGGTGTCGGATGGTAGCGCAGACAGAAGGAGCAAGACGACATCCGAGAACTCGTCCTGCTGTTCGCGAGATCCCGAGCCAGCTGCCTCTGGCGCAAGTCTGGATATCCTCCGATTGACACTTGGTGTTAACATAGCCCTTCGCTAAACTGCTCTCCACACGCACAAAAGCGAAAAATCATGGATGTGTATCCTTCCTTGTTCTAGCGGGACACATGGGCCTTTTCCTTGTTCTAGCGGGACACTGTGTTCTTGCACATGTCGTGTCCCAGTTCGTGGACAACTTGACACTTGATGCGTGTAGCTGGGACAATGGGCCTTTTCCGAACCCGGGACTGTGGGCCACGTGTCCCAGGGGCAGGCCTGCCAGCAGTGCCAGGCCCTGGGCCACCACTGGTCACGTGGATGACTAGACTGCAGTTTCGACCTCCGCACCACAACTTTTTTTGTGCAAAGCCCAGTTCGAACTGCATTTCAAAATTCCTGCCTGCCTGAATTAACTCAGTCTGCAGAAACCGTGCCGGGACTGCATTAAATTTTAAAAGCCATTTACAAAGTTAACTTAGTATGTAATTTTTTTTATTTTTTTTTTTTTGGTCCACACAGGCTTGGCGCCCTGCTGTACTGTACAGTTGTGCACAACAAACATGTGCTCGAGGTAGCCTCCGGGCTTAGTACGTAATATGTTGCGCCCACAGTCAGCCCGCAGTCTAAGCTTCGTCGTCTGAAGTCAAATTTCTGTTGAATGTATGTCTGTCGTAGAGGCCGGCATTTTCTCAATGCCGCCGTTTACAGGCAGCCCGCAGTACAACAGCCCCACCGAGGGGGAAGGAATAACAAGTTGCTGAAGAATTACTACCCTACTCTCCCAAGTATCCAGTGCCTATGAATGACTACTTGATAATATTGGCCCCGTCCATTAGACGTTATCTTAATAAGCTGTTAATTAGGATGGGAACATTCACACTTCCGCAATGCAAGCACTGCTGCCAGCAGTGCCAGCTACCAGACGAAGAGGTTTGTACGTAGACCCGCAAACTTAACTCTTTTTTATTACTCTATAGAATTATTTTTATTTCTCTTTTTTTTTTTGTTTATTCCCCCTCTCTGCAGTGCTGCCGTGCACCATTGATACGACAGGGAGAAAGGATAAAAAAGGAAGATGGTAAAAAAAAAAAAGAGGAAGATGGAAAAAAAACACGAGGAAGATTGGTAGAAAAAGAGGAAGACGGTCAGTCGCCATCTTCCTCTTTTCCCCTTCGTTCTTGGGAGACTATAACTACAATAAGGAGTACTAAGGACAATATAATCCTGAATCCCTTCTCGCGAAAGAAGGGAGCAAGCAGTCAAACAGATAGGAGAGAAAGAACCAAGCCCCCGCATTTGGCCACTCAGCGGCCGCAATGGCGGATGGCTATGGCGATGACAATGGCGATGGCGATGGCGATGGCGATGGAGAGGATGACGCGGATCTTGGTTTTGTCCTCCGACATGGAAGTCAAAGCTTGCTGGTCTATTCGAATACATCACGGTGGTAAATCTGCAGACGCTAGCATGCTATGGCCATCGAGCAGGAAGCCATCGCAAGGAGCGAGATAATGCCGGTTGCGTGAACGGTCGCTGTACACCGTGACCAGTCGTTCCACACCGCGACCGGTAACTTGACCCCGTCACTGGTCGTTTTGCACATCACGAACGGTCGCTGCACACCATGACCAGTCGTTCCACACAATGAAGGGTCACTGCACACCGTGACCATCCAGTGGTTCTATACCATGACCGGTCGCTGCACACTGTGACCAGTCGTTCCACACCTTGAAGGTCACTCTACACCGAAACCAGTCGCTCCGCACCATGAACAGTCACTGCCCACCGTGACCGGTCATTCCACAGAATGACCGGTCGCTGCTGATGCCCGAGTCCAATACGCATGCTGCAGGATGACCCTCTAGCCTCAAGCATGCAAAACATGGAGCCTCAAGTATGCAAAAAACTTTATAAAAAAAAAAACAGAAAACCGAAAAAAATACGTGAACGGTCTCTGCGCGGCGAACGGAGATCGTCCGACACAGATTCTACAGGACTATCAGGATGGTTGGCCATAACATAGACCGCAATGCAGGATGCCTGAACGGTCGCTGCAGATTGCGACCGGTTGCTGAAGACTTTCGGAACGAGCACGCCCACAGCGACCAGTCCGCATAGCTAAAAGAGACCGTCCGACGCAGATCCTCCATGGTCTGCACTGTCTACTTGGACAAACCCGTCCCCATCAACAAGCCCTTCCGCTACGCTCTTCCCCCGAACACAACGCAACCCTGATAACGAACGATATACAAGCTATCCTTCCGGTCCTGTGCAGCCATAACGAGGGTGCGTTGTGCTCGGGGGAAGAGTACAGAAAGCACCACTGCAAGCTGCGAAAGCGGTTAATGCATATGATGACCGGTCGCTCCACACCATGACCGGTCACCGTCGCTCCACACCACGACCGGTCGCTGCACACCATGACGGGTAGCTCCACACCATGACCGGTCGCTGAAGACCTTCGAAACCGACACCGCCACCAGGACCGGTCTGCCGAGCTTACCAGACAGACTGTCAGAGGCAGAGACTCGGCAATGATCAGTACGGACGGCATCGTCCAGCTATGCATACTCGTCCCCGTGGGCAGGTCCGTCCGCAGCCTCCACAGTTGTTGGAATTCGACCTGGTGTTAACACACGAACCACCGCAGCAGCTGCTCCACCTACCATTGCACGTTGCTCCGCATCTACCGCAATCAGAATTGCTATTTGACAGATTAACGCAGCTGCCCCTGCAGCAGCTACGGCCCGATCCGCAGCTGTTCCCACACCCCCCACAGTTCCGGGAGTCGGTCCTGACACTCACGCACGAGCTGCCGCAGCAGGCCTGACCGAAAGGACAACCACGTCCACATCCGCCTGAGGGTCCGCAGGATCGACGGCAACTGCCATTGCAACACTGCAATCTGCCCGGGCACCTTCTCCCGCACCCGCCGCAGTTGTTCCGGCTGGTCTGCAAATTTCGGCACACACCCCCGCAGCAAGATGATCCAGATGCGCAGGCAGGGCGGCAGCGGCCACCGAGCAACCCCCTTTCCCCAGATACGTCTGCTACCTCCCCTTGCTCCCCCACGACCTCCAACTCCATCTTCTCATTGACGTCAGCCATCGCCAAGATGGCCATCGAGCAGATCACCATCACCACAACAACACCTATCATCAGAGGAAAGAACGAAACTCCTTTCCTCTCCATTGTCACCTCTCCCTCTCTCTCTCTCTCTCTCTCTCTCTCTCTCTCTCTCTCTCTCTCTCTCTCTCTCTCTCTCTCTCTCTCTCTCTCTGTGNCTCTCTCTCTCTCTCTCTCTCTCTCTCTCTCTCTCTCTCTCTCTCTCTCTCTCTCTGTGCGTGTGTGTGTGTGTGTGTGTGTGTGTGTGTGTGTGAGAGAGAGAGAGAGAGAGAGAGAGTGTCAGAGTGTGTGTGTGTGTGTGTGTGGCAAGAAGGCTGCTTATAGGAGGAGGTGGGCAAGAAGGCAGCTGAGAGGGGCAGCTGGCCAAGAAAGCTGCTAAGAGGGAGAGGTTGGGTAAGCAGGCTGCTGAAAGGGGTAGGTGGGCAAGAAGGCTGCTGAAAGGGGCGTCTGAGCAAGTAGGCTGTTGAGAGGGACAGGTGGGCAAACGGCAAGGTAAATGGCGAGGGCAAGGCAGCGAAGGCAGGCGGGCACGAATAAACGAAGAGTTTGTCGTCCAGACAAGCGATCCAGACCCAGTCAGAGGCGACAGCGAGTGAGGACAGAGATCAAGATGAGACAAAAAGACACTGGTTGTCAAATCAATCAATCGATCATAGGCGGCTCTCCCATCGATCAATCAATCGATCGATCATATGCGTCTCTTGGCCCACAAATCCTTTTTCGATTACGCTCACCTCTGCCTCTCTCTGCATACCACCACTTCAGATCAATCACAAGCTAATCTCCGTTCGTATAGTGATTCAACCACAAAGCCGATCTTCCCCCGAAATCTTGGCGGCCTCCTCGACTCGTCTCGCTGCCCACAGATTGACGACCAGGCTAGCTACTCAGGGGGTGCAACAAGACGGCTCTCCCCGCAGCCTCTGCCCCACCTCCACCAGCTGTTCAGGAGGTGGAAGATGACTTCCGGAGCAAACCCACAGCTCGATCGCAGGCAGACGCACAGGGCCACAGGCGGCAGTGGATAGCTTCCGCACAAAACCCGCAGTTCGAGCGCATGCAGATGCAAATGCGGCAGTGTATAGCTTCCACAGTAAGCCCCCGGCTCGAACGCAGAAAGATGCAAATGCCGCAGTCAGTGGAGAAGGCAGTGACGGAGGAGGGAGAGGCAAGGAGCCTTTATAATAGGCTTTATTAGACAAGATGGCGGCAGCCGCGGGCAGCGTGACCCACGTCCCACGAATTGGGAAATCTCGCACATGGAGGTAGGACCAGGGATCGGACTGTCACCTGCTCACAGACCTGAATCTGATCAGGAAACTCTATAGAGTGCAGTTGCAAGCCGCCGCCCTCCGCAGCCAGGGGACAGCTCACAGTGGCTTACACTCAACCGAATCGAACGCCCGGTCATTGTCGCCACATGGAGACTGAAAGGTGCCCCAAATACAGACGTAATGACCGGCCGTTCTGTCCGGGTGCAGGCGACGGGATTGGGCATAAGGAGCGCTTCTACCACGGACTAGAAGCAGAAGGTTTACGCACGTCACGATTGGAGGGAAGGGGAGGGGAGGAGGGGGGAGGCAGGGGAAACAGGGGGTGAAGGGGGGGGGAGATGTTGCTGCGCATGGCGATCAAAGAGAAAACTGGTACGGCGACCTTGGAGGTTCTT